ACCTATTTGCAAAATACATGAAATACTCTAAAGAACTGTGCTCTATTTTTAAAAAGGTCAAAACGGCCTGTCAGGACGCGACCGAAATTTTAATATTTTGAACGCTTCAAAGACTCAGTTTTCGTCATATCCTGCTACAATACTAGCGCTATGTTCCCAAAGTTTACATTTCCGCGTACGCTTTCAAAATTGCTTTAAAACAAACACATTTTTCACACCAACACTTTATCACACGTCAAACTTAACAAGCTTTTATTGGTGAAAAGTGAATAACATTCAAACCAATAAACAATAAAAAGGCAGACAAAACAGCTCTGCTAATTATACGACTTCGTTCTGCACTGGAAGCTAAGCGTCTTGTGAAACAAAGACAGCCAATCATTACAAGTACAGGAAAATTTTATTGTACTGAAACAATTACTCTGACGGGTGGTAAAAAGGCTCTCGACAAAAAAAGAATTATCAGAATGCGGCGTTTATGAATCTTTGCAAATTTATTTTCAGGATTTTGAAAGCGAAATGTGGAAACGAATTAGGATCACACATAGAAATTTGGACCACACGATTTCTGAACGTTTAAAGAGGGGTTAACTTCTGTTGTCATGACAATTTGAATCTACGCCACATCAACAATTGCGCGCTTCATTTCCGACAAATATTTAACACAAATTGCATGCTTCCACTACAAAGGAATGTGTTTTGTTAGTTTGACTTTTGAAATTTCTTTTCTGAGATTGCACAGATCGAATCCTCGCCTCAATTCTAGGCCAAAAACTGGACGTATCCCAAGGAAGATTTCAAGGAAATGAAAAAGGTGTTTTCACGGAAATTAAGTTTGCATGTTACTTCCCTAAGTGAAGCGGTTCCTATTTATGGCTGTCATTGATAACAATCATGGTCAGGGGAAACTTTAAAAGCACCTGAAAAGTTCTGGGACATATTTCGAATTCTCACGTATACTTGTTTGTCTGGTTCCTCGTATTTTTAATTACTCCTTCAAGTGCTAGGAATTGTTAACAGATAAAAGGTTACTTTCCTAACAAACTTACTGCAGATATTTTTAGCAATTCTCAGCTCGTGGCTTTAAACCACTATCTCGGCGTGAAAAGTAGCAACCAATAAAAAATTTATACAATTTTCACACAAAGCCGACGCTTCAAGCGTTCTCACAAAGGATTTGCAACGCAAAAAAAAGAAAAAATTGCAAAAGTTTGTAGGCAAAGCCAAACAGTAATTCTATAGACAAACAATCAAACGAACAAAGTCTATAGATTAAAAAACAAAATGAAAGAAACCTTCGGCAAAAAGAAGAAGTTTTCTGAAACCTCCCTTTTCATCATCTTAATTGTCAACTTAGTTTTATGTCTGCCGCCGTGTATTGTAGGCTTCTTTCCTGCAAGGAACCTACCTTGTAACATTGTTTAACAGATATTGCTTTTAGAACTGACGTGTTCTAAGTTGTGGTGTGGATACTCAAGAATCAATCCGTGGATTGATCCGCTGCAAAAACGAAATGACTTTGAAGGAAATTAGCCAGCTGCTTTAATTAAGCATTAATATTACTCCTTGTGTATCTAATCCATCGCTCGGATACGGAAAATATGGCAATGAAGGAAGACAAAACAAATGCTAAAAGAGCCCGTCATTTCACCATGAAAATTAGATTAGGTGACTCCCTAAACACACTGAAATTCTTTAGAGATCTGGTCGCATCCCTTGAAATCGTTAGACGCAAAATCTATTTCACTATGGTTACAAACGAACAACAAACCTGAAGCTTGCTCGTTTTTCCATGTTAACGTTTCCATCAGTAATGAAATTCAATATGCTAAACAAGGCCTTTATGCGATTTGAACTGAATCTTCTTGGTCGAATTTCATGAAATTTAGCCCACGTAAAATGCTTAGCCAAATTTCACTGACGTCAAACAAACCGCTACTTTAACTAAAAATAAACATTCAAGTTACAAACATCCGATAACTGCCTGGATCGTTAATGATTTGGCTGAGAACACCTGACAATCATTCCCAATAACATTTCTCATTTTCAAAAATTTCGTGGACAGCTCATGACTCCCCATATTCTCAATCATTTTTGGTATGGTAGAATATAATTTAAGTAGAGATTATAAGTTTAGAAGGGTTAGTATCACGCTAAGAATGCGACTGAGCAAGCTTTTCTAGAATAAAAGGCTTATTACTGGTCACGTAAGGTGTAGTTATCAAACAGATGGAAACACCTCTACGTTGGCAAACTCAAGGCCTAACTTTGCCTTCCGAACGAATCGATTTCATACGAAAGCTGTAGAGTAATGGTTGAGACAAATGTATTTAAAATCCCTCAAAGACAAAAAAGAAAAGGGACAGTTGTTCATTTAATAAAAGATTTATCACTCAGACTTCTTCTAGGACCCTTAGGTGCTCAAAAGTGAAATTATTTCTCATGTTAAAACAAAGAAGGAGGAACATTGTGGTGATAATTGAACGAACTGCTGCAGAAAGGTGTCAATATGGCGGCGTCGACTCGTCTGCTCCTTTATTTCAAAAGATGTATTTATATTTCTCGACTCTTGTTTCCATTAAAAGGCTAATGGCATCGACTTGAATTTCACTTCAATCTGGTGCAAGTGTAAAAGGAAGGAAATAGAAAAGCGCAGCTTTCTTTGACAAAGACACGAGAGAGATCTTTGTCTTTGACTCGATTTTTTTTACAATATGGATAAAACATTTCAAATCACTTTCCCTGCCTTGTGGATTTTGGTCGGATTTGTATGCTAGATATTATCATGCCATGCAAAATATGAACAATTATCTTCAAGTGTTTGCACTCTATTCGTTGGTTTTTGCCAAATATAGACTAAATCACATCTCATTTAACACCTACGATATTTAAATTTTACAAGGCAACTCGGAGAACTATAGGTCACACCAGTTAGGCAAAAAAAGAGGGTTATTTTTATTCTGTTTTAAAAATGCTCTTCTATTAAATTCCGTTTACTTTTGAGTCTAGTTAAAAGCATGTCAGAAACATCTCTGTCTAGTTAAACACTTATTTTTCCGCAGTACTCAGTTTATTTATACGTATTAACTTCCTTGTTTTCTTGAAATAATTTTCGAAGGATCTAATGCGATTTCTCGTGCTTCGGTTGCTTACAGTTATAGCGTAGCTCGAGCCATGAGACTGATTCTAGAACCAAACCATGAGTTGATTTAGTAAATATGGTAGAGCTGTAATATACGAAAACGTTCAGTGAGCAAGGGTCTGCCGGACGATTCACGTTTTCGATAATTTCGTTCATTGCAACCTAAATAATCTCGAAGAGACGACAACATTGACTTATATTCGCGAAATATGTTCATAGATTGAACATAACAGATATAATTTGCGATGGCAACGAAATTATACTTAAATTGCTTGCAAGGAAGGATCGTTGTACAAGACAACAAAAAACCGCAAACAAACGTGTCAAGAAGATTCGCAGGAAGTTGATATTGGGTATAGTTTACTGATGGTGTTTCTTAAGTTTGCTTACACATTTATCGGGAAACTGAAAGTATATTTTTACTGGCTACTTACCAAAAAGTGCTTGTCAGACGCCTTTCGGAAAAGATGATCATCGACTCTTCGAAAGCGTTGCGAAAAATTGTAGAAGTCTCGTGCCAAACCTCGGAAAAAAAGCCGTCACTCAATATTTCGTAATTCGCTTGAGAGTACGATTGTATTGCAACTCTTAAGAGCCCTGATTAGCATATTTATTGTGACTATTAGTTTATATTTTTTTTCTTGCATAAAGCGCTGCGTGGTTTCCTCCGTCGCGAATATTATCTGTGACTCTCTGCTTTTGAACATCACAAATGAAAATTATAATAATCACTGAAAACAAAGAAGAAGGAAATGAAGGCGTGAGATATTGAAAACCAAAAAGAATACGTATTTTATTTTAACACCAACCAGCTATCTTCGTTTCAAATTTGGACTCCAGATCGTACATACTAATTGATTTGACCGGCAGGGGGCAAAAGACCTAAGATTCACCGTGGAGAAGACAGTTTGTGCAACGAATTATTTCTTAAGCTGTATGCATTATATCTTAACTAATTAATCGAAGATTCGTCAGAGATCATTGTGACTTTCATGAAATAGCAGACGGAAGTGTCATATTTTTCAGAAGTATTGCTTCTTAATTATCACAGTAAATTAATTGGATGTCGGAAACTTTAAATTTGCTTATTTCAAACTGTAAATTCGAGGCATCTCTCATAACTTTATGATCGGCTCAAACGATTCCTCTTTGGAGAAATGTGAAATTCGTACGTATTCGTCTGAAATAAGAGATATTTTTTTTAGAAACTTTTAAACCCCAAGGTCATTAAAAGTTCATATCTGAGATTTTTTCCCATGAACAGCTATCTCTTGCTGTCAGTTTGTTGTCATAGCTCTTTCCAGCCAAAACAACTGACGTATCACTCCTGTAGCCAAAAACTTCCCGGCACAATATCTTGTTCGCCTGCAGTTCAACCCAATTGATGTTATCGAGAACGATCCAATGTGCAGACGACAGTAGAAGAATACGGTAGCACAGCGATAAAAAGATTATTTCCAATACCTCGGTGACGTTGTTTCTATTGAAGCCGTGCTTTGATAAAATATATTGCGATCGAATTACCTTTTAAATAAATATTGAGCATTTTTTCATGAATAGCACTAAAGCTCGTTCGCTTCACTCGTGAAATATTTTTCGACACGACTTGAGAGAAAGTTTGCTTCTCCAAACGGGCATGTAATATTCTATTTATTGAATAAACATCAATGAAATAATTAATCATTTCGAAAGGTGAGATTTTCACATGAGACCATAGCAACGGTGATCTTTTTACGTGTGAATGTAAAATGTTATTTAGTGTAAACATAACATGTTATCTTCACATATGAAGTTGTCGTGTTTTCGCGCAAAAGCTCACTTGGTATTTCATTGGTGTTTATATAATAATTCATTTAAATTACGAGCTTTTGTCCCACATTCCATCTTTCGAGTGATAAAAGTGATAGAACCCGGGCAAGCGCAATCGCTCGACTTCTAGCCCCACAGCCAGTACTCTGTCAATCATTTCCCAATCTTCCCCGCCCCATTTGTCTCGGAAGTCCTGGACGTTCATCCCTCCAAACCTGTCCCAGTCCGACTTGAAGATACCTGCGATTGAGCAAATAATTTTTTTTCAGCACAGCAAGGAGAAGCGAATACTTGTCTTCGTAACTGTTCTTATTATGATGCAGTTAATATTTCATAACCCCATGGGTGACCTTTTTTTTTTATTTTGTAAGGAGAAGTTTAATCGAAATCGGTTATGGCAAGGACAGAATCAACCGCCTGAATTTTTCACGGATACATTTACCTCGATTTAAATTTGTTTGAAGTGAAATTTTTGGCGGATTTTGTAGATTTTTCAAAACACCCCTTTTTAGATATAATATCGAATTACGTTGAAAAGTGTCTCTTACTGAATATTCCAAATCCAAATGTTTCCCAGTAGCCTTTGGATTGTGTTGTCGTCGTCAGCGGTCTTCCACAGAAGGTTAACCTGAAGAGGACTGGGGTGAACGCCATCCTTCCCTCTACTGTGTGCTTCGCATGTGATAAAAGAGCGCTTTTATTAAATTTCTTTTAATTCGTATCGTTATATATATATATATATTTGACTACCGTTCACTTTGCACATGCTCGACTGCGAATTCAAGAGCTTTCTTACCATGTGGTAGTCAAGATTGACACTGTGCATGATGCAATATGTTTTGTGTCAGTTCCAAATGGACATGAGAGTAAATCTGACACCTTCCCAAAGGCCAATGGGACACGAGCATAGGACATCCAAAGCCCACACCCCTACGACGTCTTACTGGAAAATGCTGCCCAACCCTCCTGAATGCCAGTAATCCAATCCTTAAAAGATACTCAAATCTAAAGGCAAAAAAGGGTTAATTGCACTTTGGGAACCCTTACCCTTAGTTGCACCACTGGCAATCTCTTAAGCAGGGTACGATTTAAGCTATAATATTTGTATAATTTATAATTTCATCATAATGACGTTTTCGTTGTAGCCTTAAGTAAAGCTTCACTTCCAATACAAATGACGTAACTGAAGCGGAATTTTTTGTAGAAGAGCAATAAATGGGATCAAATATTCAGTGAAATCCAAATCAAATTTTATCAGTCACCGTGATAGTAGATGTATGACAGTTTCCCTAGCATCTCTGTTTAAACAGGACTGTAGCAGTTTGTTCACGTTTAAAAAAGATATCAACGATTCTTGTCTTGTTTTAAACCTTTTAAAATCTTCCCTGCGTGTCGGCCATTGAGCCATTTTCTCACCTTTCTGATAACGCTAAAGAATGTGCTCGGTGTGAGAAGATGAAGATCAAACAACAGCACAATGCTGTGTGGATCTGTAATGGTACTGACCGCTGACTGAATGGCTTCTGTTTTGTGGAACGCGCCAGTGCGCTTCAGGACTTTGTAGTTTGTCAACGAACTTCTGTTTGAAAAACCATAAACAATTTTAAAAACACATACACATTCATGATTCAACAACAAGGAAAAGTGGATTGTACAACATAATTGAGGTTTGTATGGCGATCAAATGACGAGCTCTTAAACGAAACCAGTTTTTTAAATCGCAAAGGTAATATTAATGTGTCGAAAGAAAAAGCAAATCAGGATTTTCCTGAATAAGGTAATGCAAATAGTGATAGCAATGTTAAATAAGAGCAGTGAGATTCACCTAAATGCAATAGGCGAGAGGACACTTTGTACTGATTTATCTGTAAATTTCAAAGCAGCTTGATTATGATCGGAAGGGGAAAGCCGCACTCTCACATTAGGCTGGACTTGTACGAGCGTATCTGGAGACTTGCAAATACAAGAATGGTTTTCAAGGGCAACAACCAGGCCAGATGCGAATAGCGGCTGAAACAGATTCCTTAAACTTGACAAAAAAGTTTGATAAAACCCTAGGAATATGAACCATTCTTAATTCGTAGATTGACTAATCCAGAATTTAAAAAAAAAATGGCCTGCTTAACTCATAAATAGCTCCTCAACACTTGGCAACCTTTAGGGCTTTTTACTTGTCAAAATAGTTCTAAACAACGGCGTAGTCTAATTAAACTGATTCCTAATAGTTTTTCTAAACACTAATTTTGCTATTGTAATTCGTTTATGTTAAGACCAAGTACAACTACTCACTGCCTCAAAGACTCCTCTATATTGATGTCCTTACTCTCATAATCCACCACTATTATGTTCACGTGATCTTCACGCGTCTCTTCTGAAATCCGGGACATCTCGTTAATGAAGTGTTGGGCCCAGTTTCCTTGGTTCTTTACGGTCAGAATTACATTTACTGTCACGTTCCTATTCCAAGAAATTCCCGCTGGCGTACAAAGTCTGGAACTGTTGTTGAATTTGTACACATATTCGGATAGTTTTACGACCTTGTTCCGAGCCCTTTCTCGGAAAATGAGCTCGAGCAAATATCGACTTCCACGCGAGATGTCTTGGGTTTTTTCGACGTTAACGATAGCCTTCAAATCATATTTCCTGGCATAAAGAAAAAGACAGTCATTTTTAATTTTATATAGTGTACACTAACTAAACTAGGCAAAAATTTAAAATATATGTTTTATGCTAAATAATTTTTACGGAGTAGTTCACCGAGTCAGGAGGTAACAGTTGAATCTAGGAAATGCCAAGAACAGACCTGCTTTATGAAATTTAGTTAAAGTAAGTTGTTGGGTTAGGTAAGCTAAATTTTCAAGCCCCGGTTGTTCGAAGGTCGGATAGCACTGTCCACTAGAAAAATCTCTATCCGTTGAATAACCCCATACGTTTTGCTATCACTTATTCGCTTAATGGCGTTATCCGCCCTTTATACGACTGGGCCCCAATGTTTTGCTCTTTAAAAGTCTCAAAATATTTGCAGGTGCAATATTTGCTGCAAATTTGCAATATTTGCAAAATTTTGGTGACAAGATTCCGCAAATTCTTGCATGTTTACAGCGTAAACAATTGCGCGCTCTTAAACTGCTCCAAGATATCTTTGAGTTAAGAAAAAAGTGAAATAACTAAACATTCTGACCCTACTTGGGATATTTTTCTTGAATAGTCTTTGTAAAAGTCCGAACAATTTCTAGTACTTCATCCGCAGTAATTAAACTGTTTCCATGACAGTCTCTTTTCAGTCTGTTTCCAATGCATATGAACTCTTTCGTGCCGTCATCTGGGAATACGGAGCTGAAATGTGTTTTCCAAATTCCTTCAAAACGTTTGAAAGTCCTTTTTTGGGCATATTTTGGTTCGTAAGGGCAACTCGGAAAAATGGATAGTATTTCCTGAGATACCTCCGGAAGTTGATCAAAAGTCATCGAGTCGTAATGATTTTCGATGTTAAAATCCTCTCCAAAATACGATGTAAATTTTTTTGACAGTTTTTGTTTTCTAGGTATCTCTATTCCTTCGTAATCCTCATCGCCTTCCCCAGCGTCAGCATCATTGATTTCCGAGTCAATAACGCTGGGAGATGCTCGTAGCATATCACTGCGTTCTGACAACTCTCTGTGATTAAAAAAAGAAGGATCATCCTGCAATAGGGGTGAGAGAAACTTAGCAGAAATTTCGGTAAACGCATGACCGCTGGGAACCAGCCAAGTGACATTCACGTGATCACGACTCATCATTCCTCCATTCATCACGTGAAGCAAATCAAAGAAATACTTCCCTTCTCTCTCGAGATATATTTTCCGGGACGTGTGGCTTACAGACTTGGCTGAAGAATGTTTGTTGTTTTCTATTGCAACTTTTGCGATCAATTCAACATCCGTCGCGTTCTGTTCCTTGCCAAGCCATAGTTCAGCGAAGACATGTGCAATTAAGTGAAAAGTGTAATTACCAGTGATAGGAGGATACACGAATCCCATAATTCTTTGCCCGTACCAGGTCCCCGACGGACCAGAGTTGATGGTGTGACGAAACAAACGTTCTTTAGGTAGAGTTGGAAATAAGGGGTACTGTCTTAAGCTATTTATTTTGGGACAGCACAGTCCCCTCCAGAGATGAACATTAACATTTCCTCTGTTGATTCTTGAATTGGCGTCAATGTTAGCAATTTCGCCTTCTGTTACGTTGATATCTGACTGTGCATCTTCCATTTTCTCAATGATGTGGTATCTGACATCATTTTCTCCAGGGGTCCGTTTAACTCCCTCCCAGTCCTTTACTCGCCCATCATTGTCTGTGCGCTCACTGGGGGCTTTGTTTGCCGTCGCTCGCCAGTCTTTCGAAATTAAAATCTTTGAAAACTGCACCGACTGCTGCCTGTTGTGTCGAACGACCAGGGCTATCACTAGAACGTATATTATTCCGAATAGCCATTGACATGCATAGAGCCGACAAAATCTATGGCGAATCCTTCTAAACATTTACCAATGATAATCTCGTTTGAACCAAATGAAATCCTTTGTCTCGTTCTAGAATGAAGCATCTGATGATGAAAATTTTCCTTCCTAGGAATAACTCAGTTTTGACTTGGGCGAGTCATAATTGATTTCAAAGCGTGGTTCGATTTGGACCATCGGAAGACATTTTGAAAACAACTACATGGCTGACTTCTAGTTCTGAAATAAGAAAAATAATTTGCATCACTGGTACCGGTTGAGAACAAAACATTGATTTGTTCTGTTATCTCGCTACCTGCTGGTGTCAAGTACATGGAAAATCTGCAAGCTAGTTTTGAATCAAAGATCATCGTTGGTTTAGCTCACGGCTAATTATTAAGACATTTTCCATTTCATTACCCCATAATCTTCCATCTACTCTAATGAAAACCGAATATCTAGCTTAAATATAAACTAATCGTTAATAAACACGAATGAATAAGTAAACTCTATATAATTATTTCGTTGCAGAGTAAAACTATTAGATGGCACAAATTTTCTGGCATATTTGCGACCATTCCAATTTTGACTGCCAATTCAACACAAACTTCCTATTTATTTTTAAGAAAAAACACCACCGAAATCCAAAAGAGTAAACAAAAGTTCCCATGGTTCTCTACACTACCCAGCGGATGTTTCAATTGTTAAAAAGGAAAAAAAAATGAGAAAAAAACGGGAAAAGAATTGTGGAAATAAATACAAATTAAGGAGAACATATCTATTCTGACAGTAAAAAGGAGGAGGCAGTTGACAAAAGTTCGATTTCCAGTGAGATAAAGACACAATAACAACAAAAACTATTTGCATGACAACAACATGATATTCCAGTTTTTCAAAAAGTGCTATTACTATTAATGAAAGCTTTCAAGGAAAAACGGAAATTAACAAAGACTACAATTATTACATATTTTTTGTTAAGCTGGTTTCGTTTTTCAAATGTATGGTAATTCATAAGATTTTATATATTGGACTGTGTAGCTGGGCTCAATAAATCTAAGTAGTCGTTAAGGTGAAATTTTATTTTAGAAGAACTTCCTAGTCGAAGAATATTTCTTAGAATCTAGCTGAAAGCTGCAGAGAGTTCAAATCCTGTCAGAGTCGTATTTGCCGGTCTCAATACGGAACTTGTGGCTGCTTGTTTTTTTAAGTTTTAATTAATGCTATTATAGAAGGGATTTTCTATATATTTCTCAACAGGTTGAGGCTGGAGGTTTTTTTTTTGAGCTTTTAAAAAAGAATTTTGTTCATGTAGAGGTAGTATCAGCCAAAACGGAGTCTTAGGAACTTGTTCCAGGTTGAAAAACAATGTGCAGAGAACAATGAAATACTTAAATTCTGCTAAGATTGTTTTTCCATGGTGTGAAAGCAAACATAGATCATCGATATTGTCTATATACTGAAAATTTTGCAAATAAACGATTTACTAAAATTATGAAGTCGCTTTGATGTTATGACTATTTCGTTAAAGGTTGAAGTATATCATTGAAAAAAAAAAGGAGAGCAATAAATTCGTGATTTTCGTTTGTCTAGAGACAACATTTTGACAGATCTCAGAAATTTTAATTTACGGTCTTTCATCGGATTTAACACCTTTTATGTACTAATGATGTGAGATAAAGATCCTTGTGGTATCTTAGAAACGTTTTATGCTTTAAAACATATGATGAATTTGGTTAATCTCCTAAATTTTTTTTCCGGTTTGTTTAAAAATTGTTGAAAACTGAAGCAGTTTATTTCGGGGCGTTGAGTCAAAATTGTTCTCAAATTCCATGTCTCGGCGTTTAGTTTCTTGAGTGAAATTGATAAATGACAATTGTTACAGTCGTTATCGTTTTTTCAAAGGGTAAACTGAACACCTGCTCTTTGCCTATAAAAAGCGGTTGATGCCAACGAGTTGTTGGTCTTCTTGGCCTTTGTTAAAGTGAAGCAAAATAATATATTTTTGCTCTGAAAAATTGTCATGTTTTTGTGGAAAGAAATCTTGTTGTTATCAACGGCACTTCAGTTCTTTAGTGCTTTTCCAGTTGATGACCTGATGATGCTTGGTAAGAGGACAATTTTATTGTTTATTTATCGTTGCAGGCAGAATGCATTCAGTTGTTGAAAAAAGTTCAAGAACATAACGTGAGCTCAGAACAGGGATTAGTTCAAGACGTCACGAATGTATTTGGCAGCTTACGAAAGAAATCTTTTAAAATTGTTATCGAGTAAGTTAATTTCATTGCGGCTTATCCAGGAGATGTCTCGAAGTAGGTTGGCAGGAAGTCAGGTTTTGTTTATTTACCATTGCGTGCACAATTTGTTTGGTTGGAGTGCAAAGTCAAAATTCGTTATTGTAAAACAGGATTACCTTTTCTGTTGTTTAGAAACTTAATTTGTCAGCATACTTGAAATCGCTGATTTCGAGTCGGTATGCATGAGGTTTACTTGAATTTAAAAAATTTTTCTGCACAAAATTTGAGGCTCTAACAGGTTCTAACTAACAGAACTTCCGTCCAGAAGTATGATTGCCCCCTCCTACCCCCTACCCCTCCCCCCTCCGTATAGAATGTTGTTCTTTGTTAAGTTATGGTTGTTTTCGTGACAATCCTCCAGACTCGTGTGGGAGACGCAGTCGCCCGATGGCTATTGCGTTGGACTCTAGGTCGAGAAGTTCAGGGTCGAGACCTTGTCAGGTCAATGAGTTGTGTCCTTTATGGACACGTTAATTGTGACGAGATGTTTGACATACTTGAGTCTAACATCTCCCACCTCCACCCAGGAGTTTTGATGGATACCAGCAAACTGTTTCTGGGAGTTCTGACAAAATGTAGGAGGTTGGCCTTGGGATAGACCAGACTTCTACCCAAGGGGAGTAGCACCAATCATAGTCACTTCATGCTACAGAAATCGGCTTGATGGGCCTTTTTGCTCGAGTACAGAGTTTACCATTTACTCTCTAAAGTCAAGCGGGTCAATGTGGGGCGAGAGTGAAGCAAACAAAACTAACAGAAAATGATTGATTTTGTCAATGCTTGATCATTGAACACTATCGGGCGCCCGCACAAAAATCACGACTCCTCTTTCGTTGGATATAATGACTGAACGCAAAACAGAAAAAACGTTGCTTTTTGCGATCGTGGAATTATGGCAGGAATAATTTTAAAGAAGACTAAGGTTGGCGTCGTTCACCGCGATCTCAAAAAAAGAAAGGATTTACAAAGATAGTTGTTGCTGTAAATGTTATTTGCTTATTTTCAGAGATCACGTTTTTCTTTTGTCGTACAATTCCAACACCTGGTACATCGAGATCTCACAAGAGACAAAAAGATGTGAGATTTTGTATAGAGGCTGATTTTATTTGTACAATATAGACGGGTTAAAGATAATTTTGTAAAGAATTAAAGAGTTTGACAGAAGAAGTTTAAATTGTGATTCAAATGTATTTCTTAATCAGCCAACCGCTACCAAGGAAGAACAACAAATAAACGGCCTGAGTTTTAGTATTTCATGCTAAATCATAAGGATTTTCGTGCTGAATACATGTTTGAGAATTTTGCACAGAACACTTTGGCGCAAAACACTTGAGTCTAGACACCGACGTATAGGATTCCGCTTGATTGTTTTGCGCGCTCGAGCTCCGCTCCGCCTCAATGGTTTACATCCATTTTTTTTTCTTATTTCTTTTTCATAGATGCGAAAGAGTCGCTGCTGGAAGACAACAGAGCACTTTCAAAGAGGGGAGCTGTACGTTCCTCCCTATATAAATGGCCCACCTCTAATGAAGATGGCAAAACAGTCGTCAAGATTCCCTATGTGGTTCAAGATGGTGTGTGACTAGCTTTTTTCATTGATACAGTAGTTGATTGAGTAATCATCCCTTTCTTATTTCAAGGTGTTTGTCTGCCTTAAAGAAAACACTCAAAAGCGGACGAAGAGACCTTAGTTGAGAAATAATACATCGGAATAGTTGGAAAACCTTTTATATTTTAAAGAAGTGTTTTTCGAGGTAACTTCCCAGTCATTACATTTAGTTTATCCCTTCATCTTTTTATTCCACAATAAATTACATGGTTTTACCCATATGATCTGTTTGTACAGATCTTCACTCCAAAGCTAAAACTGAGTTGCAGCGTGCTATTCAAGATGTACACGAAGCTACTTGTGTGAAGTTTCAGGCTCGAAAGAGAGAGACCGACTATGTTAGTTTTCAGCCTGCAGTTGACTACCAAATGTAAGTACTAACCGCAAACGGCGGGAAGGGGAGAGAGAGTCCGGGTGGGAAGGAAGGGGGGAGGGTGAAGTTTAGTCTCGAAACGAGAGGTCGTTCCCTTTTTCCTTGAGAATGCAGCTATGGGGAAACTAACAGACTGGTGAAACCTTCTGTGATCGACCAAATGTAAAAGCAGCATCACTCAGAGTCTATGGGAACGCCTGAGAAGTATGCACACGTGTAGACGACCCACAGGGCTAACAAGCTCGAGGCTGTAGTCTACAGTTTGGTCCTAATTTAAATTTTATTCGTTCATAGGGTTCTTAGTAACTTTATTGATAATTTTTAGATGCTTTGCCAAAATTGGGAAACGCTCAGGAAAGCAAGATGTTATTCTTGGAACAGGCTGCGAATACAAAGGAACAATTTTACACGAGATCGTTCATCTGCTGGGGTTTTATCACGAACACAACCGAAAGGATCGAGATTCATACTTGAAAATTTATGAAGACAATCTTGATCCAGGTAGGCCTTGTTCAATTATGCTTTACTTTTTTTCTTATTGTAATCTACAGTTGGCGAAAAAATTGTTGACTCAGTGACCTTTTCAACCCCCTCTTATTTTTATCTCTTTTACCCTTGTCAAGTCAACCTATCTGCCCCCCCCCCCCACCCCCCAACACAATGTTGTATCTTGATTCCATAAACCTTTAGCTAAATACAAGCAATGTTGATTGGGGCAAAGGGGTCATGTAAAGGGGGTCTTATGGACACAGGAGTGTTATTCTTTTCATAAATAAGACTAGTCAAACATGATGTGTCAAATAAATTTGTGGCTGATTGTAGGCAGAAATATCACAAATAAAGTACTTATGTCCCTGTAAACTCTGATCTACTATTTCAAAACTCGTGCATCGTGTTTCATCAGGGTTTCTAAACAAGAGAAATAAGATGAAAGGTACAAGCTTAGCCCTTTACACCCTAACATCAGTATGCATATTCTCCATACTGTTCTCTGTTCATTTCGAACGTTACTGACAAGGAGAATTTGTTTAACAATCAAGAGCTTCCTCAGTTGATGAACATTTCCTTTATTCTCGTGACCTTAATGTGATATATATTTTTTCTTTTTTCTGGGAGGGGGGGGGGTTGGGTAGGGATTGTGAGCAGAAGTAAGATGCCAGTCACTCGTAGGGGGGTCAAAAGGTCAAGTGAAGTCGGTGATTTAAGATTGTCTTGTAAAAGATATTCATGGAATTTTTTCGGGGGGGGGGGTAGGGATTGTGAGGAGAATTATTATTATAATAATTTTTTTTTGGGGGGGGGGTAGGGATTGTGAGAAGTAAGATGCCAGTCACTCGTAGGGGGGTCAAAAGGTCAAGTGAAGTCGGTGATTTAAGATTGTCTTGTAAAAGCTATTCATGGAATTTTTTTTTTAGGGATTGTGAGGAGGGGGGGTAGGGATTGTGAGGAGAAGTAAGATGCCAGTAACTCGTAGGGAGGTCAAAAGGTCAAGTGAAGTCGGTGATTTAAGATTGTCTTGTAAAAGCTATTCATGGAATTTTTTTTTTTTTGGGGGGGGGGGGTAGGGATTGTAAGGAGAATTATTATTATAATTATTTTTTTTGGGGAGGGGGTAGGGATTTTTTTCGTAGGGAGGGGGTCAAGTGAAGTCGGTGATTTAAGATTGTCTTGTAAAAGCTATTCATGGAATTTTTTTGGGGGGGGTAGGGATTGTGAGGAGAATTATTATTATAATTATTTTTTTGGGGGGGTAGGGATTGTTGGGGGGGTAGGGATTGTGAGGAGAATTATTATTATAATTTTTTTTTTAGGGGGGGTAGGGATTATGAGGAGAAGTAAGATGCCAGTCACTCGTAGGGAGGTCAAAAGGTCAAGTGAAGTCGGTGATTTAAGATTGTCTTGTAAAAGCTATTCATGGAATTTTTTTTTTGGGGGGGGTAGGGATTGTGAGGAGAATTGAGATGCCAGTCACTCGTAGAAGGTCAAAAGGTTAAGTGAAGTCAGCGTTTCGTAAACTTTGCCCCGTCTACTAGGGATAGAATTCTAACGAACAAGACTCATTCAAACTGTTTTATTCCACTCTCGTATTCACTTATTTACAACGGGCGTGTAAACAGCTACTCTGCAAAATTTGAAAGAAATCACTCTCTTATACGATGTTCTTTACATTGTGATTTGTTGTTGCTAAGTAATGATTTAGAAGGTCATTCAAGGTTATGTTGATCATGTAAACCGATCAATGTCCCAAAATCACTAAAGGTGATGCTTCTAGCTCTTGACATAATGTTCACACTCGTCATCTGACATGTGTCACGCACGAATCACAAAGTCTCCGACAAGAGATTTTAAGATTGTTTTGTAAAAGCTATTTAAGGTAGTTATGAATCACCTGAAAGGCATCTTCTTTATTTAATAGCTGTTAAGGACGAAGTCATGAAGAAAACTGACATGGACAATTTGGGCTTTGCTTACGACTTCAAGTCCATCATGCAATACAGCAAGACCACATTTGCTAAGTCATCAGGCCTGGTCACCATGGAAGCGAGGTCAGATCCTAATATGGAGCTTGGCAACGAAAACGCCATGTCCGCGGCTGATATCATGAAGATTAACAAGTTTTACAACTGCCCACAGAAAAACGACGTGTGTAAGTGGAAAAGGCAATAGAACTATTGAACAATCTGACTATGTTAAGTTGCAAATGTAAACACAATTGATAATTTCATAAGTAGGGTTTTTATTTTATTGCCAATCTGAAAGCAATTACTCCTTTCACTCTCAAGATCAAGAAATCAAATTCTTTACATTTCCTACCATACATTTGTTGAAATTTTCGTGCGAGAAATTTGGCGTGAAATCAAACATAGACCTAATTTTTCTTCCCGTTACCCTTCTGCTTGAAAATATATTGACACCATGAAGAAGAATTCCTCCTTTCTCACTCCCAGGAGTGTTAAGGTTAAATAAATATCCCACGTAGACATGATCGGTTAACAGGTCCGGTAAGCAGACCGATTTGACATCGTGACGCACTTTACGTCGATCAAGTGTCCTAAATAAGATATATTTTTGTCGTTATCGAATCACGAAGAGCTCCAAAGAGCGTTCATTCTAACTTATGTGTATTCGTCATTATGTATGTTGTCGGGAGCCGTAACAATCATCTGTTGAAAAGCTACTCCTTCTTTTCAAACTTAAACCCTCTACGCCCTAACATCAGTCTCTATTTTCTCTTTACTGTTCTCTATACTTTTCCTTTGGCGCTGACAAGGAGAATTTGTTTATAATCAAAGCCTCTTAAGTTGGCTATCACTTCTTTCATTATCATGATCCTAATGAATGATTCAGTAGTACTTCTGTAGTGAAAAATCATAAATGCTGGTCACTCCTATGGTTCAGAGCTGCGGTTGCCTTGCTTTTCATAACGTTATTCGAGACACGTAACGGAATGGAGTTATGTCTGATCTTTTGTTTTATTCTTCAGATAAAAACATGGAGGTAATGGTGCAAACTGGTGATGGATATTGGGATGGTTCCGACGCCTTTTTGTACCTCGAGCTGATCGGTGATAAGGGGAGCTCTGGGGAGAGTAGTGTTGCAAAAGGCGGCCTTTACGACGACTTTGAGGGGAATGCGTAAGTGGCGACTAAAGCGAATTGTTAAACTTAACTAACATACTTACGATACAGTCAAGACAAGTTAAGTATTTTTGTAAGTCACATCTACGTTATATATTGATTAAAAAAAACCGATGTCGTTTATTGCCATAATCAAATTTAAACCTGCATCTTTAAATACGCGGTATTTCTAAGATTTTGTCTTTTTGAGGATCTCATCTATCTGAAAATTAGTTTTAGAAATTTGAAGTGAAGTTAAAGGAAAGATTGGAATCTTATCTAACTTAAAAGTGGTTAGGTCTACCTTATCTAATGACAGACTTAAACGCTGGACTACCCTGTGCAGTAAGTTAAAAGTACGGTTAAATATTTTAAAAGTGCACCATCAGCTTTCGTTTGGTTGGTCACACACAAGGACTTTAATCAAACCTTCAAAGGATCTGAGTATTATACTCCAGAGCCGTGTAATTTCTATCTCTGTCATTAAAAAGTATTGGTAAAATGATAACACTGGCTGCTCTGTGAAATCTCAGAGAGTGACCCAACCTTTCGAAGATTGTCTTTGAACGTGGTGAAAATTTTATGTAGGACGCTGATATTTTGAGTCTTGCGTTGCCGCTATCTAAGACGAAACAGAGCCTCATTTCCATTTTTTCAACCTCTTGATGATCAGTTCGAACAATTAGGAGCCATAGCGAAAGGCATATTTGCCTAAAATTTTTTTTTTCGTGTGATAACCAGTGACGCAGCTGTTTTCGACCACGTTTTATGGTATCGCATCTATCGCCAGGTCACTAAGCTGTTTTTCAAAATGGTAGCGTCCATAATAGGACTATTTTAGCATGTTTGGAGACAACTTTCGAAAAGTCAAGTTACTTTTCAGTGGCGGAGAAGACCCAAAATATCTCTAATTAGATCAAAATGACCGTATTTGGTGATGTTTGAGTAATTCACTGAGGGTGTCTAAGAAATTTAATTTGACAAGCACATGTGAGGACTGACTAGTTTTTTGTTTTGTTTTTTTATTTCAGGAAAGACAACTACCTTGTTGCATTTAAAGACGTGGGCACTATTCGAAAGCTGAAGATCAGATTACAAGAAAACCCTGACGGAAGTTATTTTGACGGGTGGACTGTTGCTAAGGTAAGATTTACTGAAACAACTGTGCACTTAACAAATCGCTCGACAAACATGCAAGAACTAAATTTCATAAAGTATACTCGAAGAGAAGTCTAGGTAATAGTTGACGCGTTTGTCTCGGAATCTGGCCTTTCAGGCAAGCAAAATCACATTTCTTCATCAAGAGGTGTGATATGTGACATGGAAAGTTTTAGAGGAACTTGATGTTAAAATCAAGGGAACGTACATGTATTTTAAGGTGAGCGCTCTAAAATAAAATGTTCCCCTCTGTTTAGGCTTTTAACTCGTATCACATCACGTTCTTGTCTTTTTCCAATAAAATGGAGTTGCATCGATTAATAACAGTTACAGCAAGCTGGGAAAAGTTACTTCAAAGAAGCTACATCACCACTGGTGAATCCTGGAAACTATTTTGTCTCCTTCAATTGCAGTCCGTGTAAATCTTTGCCTTCTATAAACATCCCCGTTCCTTTTTGTTTATTCTTATCACTTAATCGTTTTTCTACGATGGTAAACGATCCCTGCAAGGTTTTTGTGTTACTTGACGAACCCACTTTAAAAAGCTAAAAGAGATCTTAAGTAGCTTATCGTAGCACTTATCATAAGAATCTTTTACTCTTCTGTAGATCACCGTCAAAGACGGAGACAAAACTTACATTTTCGGCGAAAGAGATGTTGATCCTGGAGAGACTGTTACTGTAAATGCTTCCTGAACATAATATTCCAGGCATTTATGGGTTTAATTTAAGCGTTCATTTGATTATGATAAACAAAATGAAGGTTAGATACCAATGCAGATGTAGTTTGATGTCACGAACCCCCATGTAAATGAAATTAAAGTGCAACAAGTGAACTTCCATGACCTGTGCTATCGTATGAAAGTAAACTCAGTTTGAAAGGATCAATTTAAAAGCAGAAAATGGCGAGCCTTTGGCTTAAATAGTTGTTGCGAAAAAAGTGTAACATTGCAAGTGATAACCCCGAAAGGTATTGTGGGAGGTTTCAAGTCACGGTTCCTTGAATGTTAGTAAAATCTGAAAATACGACACTGTAAGGACGAGGCATCGCAGGTTTAATGAACTAATTTTCTTATTTATTATTTAAATTCATTGAGTACCGGGACACCCAGATTACCCTTGGAGATTGTTTCGTGCACTTTTGTCTTTTTTTCCCCCGACACTTTCTCGAAACAGCTGTATATTAACAAAGGCTGGCGTTGGTGGTAGCACTTTTTTCTCGCAAAGCGACAACCATGCAACAACCGTCTGCAATAACGACCGAACAACCTCTTATTTGATTTGTTCTTTTATTAAAATAGCTTTGCTGTCTGAACTTTCAAGTCATTTTAACAGTCAGTCTTATTCTTGGTAACGAACCTGTTACCAACCGGCAGCTATCCATAATACTTTTCGACTGTTTCTGTTTCCGCCACGAAAAGTGCGCGATTGTTATTTGTATCTTTCCGAGATAGGATCTCAAAAATGATTAGAAAAAATGGATTTTTCTGCGCTTTTCTACCTTTTTTCCGTTGTGCTAAAACTGCGAATTTCCGTCTCAAGATCGGATTCCGGTATTGAAAGTGATATTTTGCATCACAATGAGAACAGTTCGTTATGGAATACCACTGTTCCAAATCTGAAACCCCTCCGTAATAAGACTGGCACGTCAAAATTTAGAATTTTCTCAACCATAAACGACACTTTTGATTGTTTTTGTAAGTAAGACGCCGGATCTTTTTTAATTCTATTTTCCTAAAGTTTTTTTAAGTCCTTTGACGCTTCTCGAGCTGCCAAACGACATCATGTATCGCGAGGGCACGACTACCAACGTGACAGCTAGCGTGACACCTGCTGTGGCGGGTTTGAGGTTGCAATATTTTTTCATTTGATATAGAACTTTGCAAAGGTATATCATTATCAAAATGTTTGCCGAAAACAATAATTCGACGTAAGGTCAGCAAAATCGACCCTTAACAAATAAAATTGATGTTATTGTGTAAAAAAGAAGAAAGCGAGCAAGATAACAAGTACGGCAGAAACGCGAAATTGCGGTGTTGCGTGATCTGCTGTATGTCACCAATTACGCTTCCAACATAACAGAAAAGTCACGCAATAACAAAGTCACTCACATGACGTCAATAGTCAGAAGTTAAATGTCTCTTCAATCTGACGATATAAATTATGTTCGAAGGTTACTTCCTTAATTTCGTAAAAAAAACCCTTTCATTTGTAGTCCCTTCGTGAAAGAGCTAGGCAACACAGAAATCTTTTACAGTTACTGTCCAAAGTTGAAGGTACTTGGCACAGCCATGTTGGTGAACATGTATCCTCCTTGCTGTTCAATTCGCCTGGACTCTGTGGGATAGAAAATAGCCGAGAGTCTAACCCAAGAACTAAACACAGAGAGCCTGGCTAAGGTTGAAATGAAGAGGATTGGTGCACTGGATTTTAAGTCGTGTAGTTTACTTTCGCTACTAATCAATACATCACCCAGAGATGATAAATCAATCGATGAGCCATTGATCGATAAAATCATTTAACCAAACCTTTTATGACAATAACTGACCAGCCCACTAAACAATTTTGTTACCAATGACCCTCAACAGTCTGTAAGCACGCCCTTAACTTTGCACTGCAGTAAGCGCGTTTCTCCGCTCGTGGGAAGATTGGAGACGAGTCGGGGAGGGGAAGAGAGAGAGAGGGAGGTTAACCGAGAGTTACTGACTCTTTGCTGACCTCTCCACGGCTCACGCTGTTCAAAGCCTCACACTTTCCCGAGGGCCAACCTTTAACCCTTTCCACCCTAACATTAGAATGCGTGTTCTGCACACTGTTCTTTATACATTTCCTAAGGTGCTAACAAGGAGAATTCGTTTTCCAATCAAAAGGTTCGTTCCCCGGTGACCTTTCTTCTCATGACCTTAATGTGTGATTCGGGCAGGTATTGTGGGGAGAAATTAAATGCTGGTCACTCTAAGGGTTTAAAGGGTTAAAATGAATTGATGACTGGCAGTTGATGAACTAACTGACAGATCAGCTGACTGGCTAAATAACTCACTGAACGATTGACCGACAGACTGACCAACAAATTGGCTGGCCTACAGACTGACCAACAAATTGGCTGGCCTACAGACTGACCAACAAATTGGCTGGCCTACAGACTGACCAACAAATTGGCTGGCCTACAGACTGACATACTGATTTACAAATGACTGACCTAAAAGTTACGTTCGACTAACTCTAGTTAACAGCTAAATTTCAGCTTTTCGCTTTACTTTCTGGTCCCTACTATTTCACCCTTTTTGGCTGGTTGATAATTGGCACAGTTCTCACCTAATGAAGCTCTCTTCTGTTCCGCCAGTACAAGCACTTCCTGTAATGAATTGCCCTGCTCTTCTGTTAACACACTTGTCAAAGCAGAATACCATTCTGGGTCATTGGCCTGAAGGGCTAAAAATTGAACAAATTCACTCTAACCCACACATAGCATTGACATGAGCGATACGGACAAAACACAAAAACTTAATACTTCTATTGCTTTTGGCGACGCAATAGGAACGCATGCAAATCACACGACGCCAACCCTGTACTCACCTTGGAGTGAATTCCTAAAGGCAATATATTCATCAGTTTCTTCGTTATCCACAGATGTAGTAAAATTTTCCAGAGCTGTCTCTTCATCTTCCACATCATCTTCATCATCTAAATGGTCAGCGGCCTGCAAGAGGGCAAAAATAGGATTTCACGGTTGTAAATATAGAGATTAGCACGCTAGGTTCTTAGGATAATGATGGTGCTCACTGTTAGCATTGATCCATTTTCACAAAGGGTCATTCACCTTGACAAATTGCTTTAGTACGTACGGTTCGTATTATTTCGAACCTGTAAAATTCCAGAAGTCAACATGGCCTTGTCCACGATTTTTTCAAATCTACACGAACAGAATTTAGTTTCTATATGTAATCAAGTTTTTCGGTATTCAAGCTCGGCGCATCACCCGTGCAGTTCGGTTGGTCGATCCGGTCGTTCGTTGAGTATAGATTCAGCCAGTCAGCTAATCTATCAGTTAATTCATCAATTGTCAGACATCAATTCGTTTTGAAGGTCGACAAGTCAGTCAATTTTTCGTTTAGTTTGTCATCTGTTAAAACCTTGCATTATTAAGATTTGTTTCTACCTTTTTCGCCAAATTTTCAATATACTGAATGTCATCTTCGTTTATTTCATCCTCGTCACTCGCTAGTTCATCTAAGAAAAAGCACAGAACAAAAATGAGTCAAAACTCTCACAAATGGAGCAAAAATAGTCGTCCGTGCGACAAGGTCTTTTGGCGTTGTTTCTCCATCCAAAATTAATCGTTGAAAAATGTAGAGGCTGCCGGATACTGTCTTGAAATAACAATTGAATCTCATAGCCCGTATTTACGACACGACAAGACCAAAAGACGTGAAAATTAGCATCTAGATGCAACGCAACCGAGAGTAGAGTACAGAGAAAGTAAATCATTAAGAATTCCAACTAAGAGAAGAGAAAATTGTCGACATCTAACAAATGGCCGTGGAAGACTGAAGTCTGCACTTGCGAGATATAAATTAGAGTTGAGTAGCAGAGCTAGGGAATTAAATGCATGGCCTTTGGATTTCAAATCCAGCTTCTAAAAAAATTAAGCCACGACGCCTCAGTGCCAATAAATGAAAAAAAAAAGATAAACTCCAAGACAAACAGGAAAATCGTCAATCTACGGAAGCTCACCTTCATCAGACGCTCCTTCCTCGTCATCTTCATTCTCTCCTTCGCCTTCACCTCGGTCTGAAACAATCAAATAACAAATGACAACGGTTGTTAAGGAGATCAGCGAGAAATATACAGAAAAGTCAACATTTCACTATGTGGAAATATAGTCCTTACTTTCATACGCTCTTTTGAGTCCTTGGAATAACACTAACAAGGCCGGGAGAATCTGGGGCGAGCACTGAAGGAGGGCCTGTGGTCTCATCTGTTTTGGAAGATCCATGAGTGCACAGAAACCCAACACAAACATCTTGCGATCATGAATACTACAACAGAAAAGAGTAGCCAGAGTTCATCAGTAACAGCAAGGCTAATTGAGGACATAAATCTTCACTACTCCTTAGTCTAAAATCTAATGAATGTTAGAATTAAGTTCAAGTAATCTGTATATGCAATGAGACAATAGGAAGACACCTGTTGACCAGTTGCAGGTACAACACACGAGAACTCAGAAGTTGGAAAGATTAACAAGGAAAATCAAAAGTTGCCCTAAATGATGATACAATACGGGGTCCCTAAGAACTGCTCATTTTTTTTTCGCCAGCAGGGAGGGGAGGGTGGGTCGTAGGACTTAAGTTGTGTTTCAATAAAATTTACCTGATCCCCCTTAAGGCTCTTTCGTATTCTCACGATTCCCTTCCCCCCCCCACTGGTAGTCACTTTTTTATAGTACTCATTTATGCTCTGTTATCGACGACTGATCCCCCCTCCGTCCCTCCCTGAAAGCCATGTGATTCCTTCCCAGGATACGAGTAAGTTTCCTAGTGCAAGTTGGTAATTACAATGTCTGAAAAAACCAAATCGGACCGAACGAAGTCATCTGGAGCAACAGCGCCAAATATTATGTTCTCAATTGTCTCAAAATGCTAAAAGTACCAAAATCAAAATATTTTGTCTCCGCTTACCCGAAAAAACAGTCGTAG